TCGAGTGCCTTGGCGCGTGCCAAGTTTGCCGCGGTCGAGTGCCTTGGCGCGTGCCAAGATGCCCGGTCGAGTGCCTTGGCGCGTGCCAAGATGCCCGGTCGAGTGCCTTGGCGCGTGCCAAGTTGCCCGGGTCGAGTGCCTTGGCGCGTGCCAAGATGCCCGGTCGAGTGCCTTGGCGCGTGCCACATGCCCGGTCGAGTGCCTTGCCGCGTGCCAAGTTGCCCGGTCGAGTGCCTTGCCGCGTGCCACGATGCCCGGTCGAGTGCCTTGCCGCGTGCCACGATGCCCGGTCGAGTGCCTTGTGCGCGTGCCACGATGCCCGGTCGAGTGCCTTGCCGCGTGCCAAGATGCCCGGTCGAGTGCCTTGGCGCGTGCCACGATGCCCGGTCGAGTGCCTTGCCGCGTGCCAAGTTGCCCCTTGGCGCGTGCCAAGTTGCCCCTATGCGTCGCGCCAAGTTGCCCGGTCGAGTGCCTTGGCGCGTGCCACGATGCCCGGTCGAGTGCCTTGCCGCGTGCCACGCTGCCCGGTCGAGTGCCTGCCGCGTGCCAGTTTGCCCGGTCGAGTGCCTTGCCGCGTGCCAAGTTGCCGGTCGAGTGCCTTGCCGCGTGCCAGTTGCCCGGTCGAGTGCCTTGCCGCGTGCCAAGTTGCCCGGTCGAGTGCCTTGCCGCGTGCCAAGTTGCCCGGTCGAGTGCCTTGGCGCGTGCAAATGCCCGGTCGAGTGCCTTGGCGCGTGCCAAGATGCCCGGTCGAGTGCCTTGCCGCGTGCCAAGATGCCCGGTCGAGTGCCTTGCCGCGTGCCACGATGCCCGGTCGAGTGCCTTGCCGCGTGCCAAGTTGGCCCGGTCGAGTGCCTTGCCGCGTGCCACGATGCCCGGTCGAGTGCCTTGCCGCGTGCCAAGATGCCCGGTCGAGTGCCTTGCCGCGTGCCAATATGCCCTGTCGTGTGCCTTGCCGCTTGCCAATATGCCCTGTCGTGTGCCTTGCCGCGTGTGCCAAGATGCCCTGCCGTGTGCCATTATGACTCCTCGAGCATGGCATGTCTGTTCATGGCACTTGGGTTTTCCTTCCTAATGCTATTATAGGGGGGTAGAGGCTTTCGCAGACCTTGCCCGACTTGCCATGTTGCCTTGTCGCTTGCCTTGTTGCCTTGCCGCGTGCCTTGTTGCCTTGCCATGTTGCCATGTCGCTTGCCCGACTTGCCATGTTGCCTTGTCGCTTGCCGACTTGCCATGTTGCCTTGTCGCTTGCCCGACTTGCCTTGTTGCCTTGCCCACCGCATGCCCTTGACTAGCAACATGACGTGCCATGATGCTTTGCCCGATACACCGCATGGCCTTGCTTGGATAATAACGTCACGTGCCATGTTCCCTTGTCGCATGCCTCTCCTCTTCCATAACACCGCATGGCCTTGCTTGGACAGCAACACGACGTGCCTTGTTCCCTTGTCGCATGCCTCTCCTCTCCCAAAACACCACATAACCTTGCTTGGATAGCAACATCATGTTTCAATTTTCCACTATTTTTCCTATTTTTTGTTTTTAATCAATTAATTTCAACAAATAATAATTACTCGTATTTTTTCGTGATTTTTCTCTATTTTTAACTATTTTTAACTATTTTTCCCTATTTTTTTGCTAAAAAAATAATAAATAATTATTTTATTGCACAAAAAAATATAATAACTATTTTTCACAATGTTAATAATTATTTGTTTGCATTTTGATCGGTTATTTCAAAAGAAAATGAGTTTTGCTTCACAAAACCCCCATTATGACTCCTCGAGCAAAAGGATGTCTGTTCCTGTCACTATGAATTTGCTTCCTAATGCTATTATAGGGGGGGGTGAGGTCTCTGAGGGGCTTGGCCCTCGGAGGTTGCCGCATGCCTCCCCCGACACACCCATGCACTTGCACGAGCACACCAACGTGCATTTCCTTTTCCCAAGTCGTGGCACGCCGGTGCCGGTGCCGGCGCCGACGCCGACGCCGACGCCGGTTTTTTAATTTATTAATTATTAAAAAAAAAAAAATTAAAAAAAAATTTAAAAAAAATTAAAATTATTTCCCTTCACTTGAGTATTAATTATATTCACTTATTTTAATTGATTATTTATAAAAATAATTATTATTTAATAGCTAAATTCATATTATGACTCCTCGAGCAAAAGGATGTCTGTTCCTGTCACTAGGATTTTGCTTCCTAATGCTATTATAGGGGGGGTGAGGTCCTTGAAGGTGCCTGCGGGGGGCGACAAGGGGGCTGCCGCGGGGCTTGCCTAGCACACCAGGGACCCTTGCCTAGCGATATGACATGCCCATTTGTTCTCCCACCCCCCCTAGGTGGATGTCGGGGGCATGTCGTGGCGCGGTGGCATGGTGATCGGTGGTGGGCAAGCCGACATAATCGAGCTCTAGCGTGTTGTCACCGCAAGCAAACGTAGGTCGGTGTTGGTCCCATGGGAGCAACGAGTGGGTGCTTGGGGGGTGGGTGTGCCTAAAACTCCGATGATGCCTAGCAATGCGAGGTGCCTGTCCGTTCTCCCACCCAATCGGGTGGATGTCGGGGCATGTTGCTGAGCGGTGGCGTTGTTGGGGCATGTGGCATGCTGACCTTGTCATGTGCCTATATGCGGCACCCATGGGCTCAACACCGACCGAAGTTGGGAGCAAGTGGGATTCTGAGGCCGGGCTTTCCTAGAACGCCGATTGGTAATGCCTAGCAACGCGACATGCTTGTTCGTTCTCCCACCCACCCGGGTGGATGTCGGGGGCATGTTGCAATGCGGTGGTAGGCTATACAAAAAGGCAAGCTTGACCTCGGCTCCCCCTTGTTGCCCCTTGCAAGGGCCTCCAAGGCGGTTGGTGCTTGGCCCTTTGAGGCAACGAGCGGCGCATGTGGGCGCGAATTGGCAGGTGTGCCTAGCATTGGACCCTTTGGTGCCTAGCAATGTGATGTGCCCTGGCGTTTTCCCACCCTCACGGGTGGATGTCGCGGGGCGCGTAGCTGCGCAGTGGCATTGTTGGATCTCGTGCTAGCCATGCTTGCAATGTGTCCCTCGAAGCCAACGAGAGCCGAGCACCAACCAGTAGGCGTGGGAATGCTAGGAGCGGCCTTGCCTAGCACACCAACAATTGTTTGCCTAGCAACATGACATGCTTGTTCGTTCTCCCACCCACCCGGGTGGATGTCGGGGGCATGTTGCAGTGCGGTGGCATGGCAATTGGCGGTTGGCTAGCCAAATAATATGTAGGTTGGTGTTGATCCCATGGGGGCAACGAGGGGTAGGTGTGCCTAAACTCTTGATCTTGCCTAGCAATGCGTGGTGCCTGTTCGTTCTCCCACCCACCCCGGGTGGATGTCGGGGGCATGTTGCAGCGCGGTGGCATTATTGGGGCATGCGGCATGCTAGCCTTGTCATGTGCTTTACTTGCAGCACCCATGGGCTCAACACCGACCGAAGTTGGCAAGAAGTGGGATTCGATGTCGAGCTTGCCTAGAATGCCAAATTGGTACTGCCTAGCAACGCGACATGCTTGTT